GTGGAGCATCGAAACGTCGCGGCCGCCGATTTCAATCGCCAGGCGCTGTCACCGCCGACTGCGCTTCATCGGCGGGCGGTGGACGCATTGGGCTGGCGGCCCGTGGCGGGGCGCCGCTGGGGCCGACTGACATGCATGCCCGTTCGGCGTACGCGGCGGCTCGCTGGCAGCCGGCCGTCGGAGCGTCAGCGCGCCAGACGACACACTACGGCGAAGTCTGCGGCACGATGGACTCGCGGACGCCTTCCGCTGAAGCCCTCCGAACGGTTGTCTGTCCGTCGCGGGCCGAGCGCGTCACATCGCTAGGCGTCGTGCTCACGTCGCCGACAGCTCTTCCTGTGCTTGTCGGAAATGGCATCGGCTCGCCGGCGGAAGTGACGTTCAGCTCATCCCCGCCCTCGTCGTTGATTTGCTGCATATGCCGTCCGAAACGGCTGCGATAGTGCATGCAGAGGTAAATAAATAAAAAATTGAAGGGCATTTTCAAATATATGCACTGAAGCGTATCAAGAATAAATCACAAGACACGTTGATTTGAACGACTCGAGGTGTCTGATGTAAGTTTTTCCTAATTGGCCAGGCATGGTAAACATGTCAAACGCCTCAGCCAGCCCGAGCCTTGCTCCAAAAGCGGCACTCTTGATTCGTTTGTGGCGCTGCCTGCCACGCGAATATAGTCTAAAATTGGAAATATCTGGACGTTAAGCACTTCACTTTGACATGACGAGTTAATTTCAAAAGTTGTTATACTAATCCTTAAATTATATTTCGCTGAGGTGCTGTCGCCATAAAGTATTGTGAAACCTGGCCAATTTCCATTGCCTTTCAGACATAAAATAAATGAATTTCACCATGATGCTGTCTCACGCCGAGCCCTGATGTTGGAATTCTACCATCAGGTGTGAATTGCGGTGAATTGAGCATTTTCACACGATGAAAGATAAAAGTTTTGTGTGTAGACGTGTTCATTCCCATCCCCATTTACAGTCATAATCCCCACGCACATCGTTAGGCAGACACCTATGCAAAATTGGGTATGCGTTATCCACAAGGCTCCACCAAGGCAAGTACCCAGCTTCTTCTCACGCTTCCCACACTCACACTACTCACCAACCGGACATTATATTCAAATTAACCTACCCTTACCAGTTTTTCGCAACCCCTCTGGCTAACACACATCGGGTCACCACCCCAGATGATTGACAAAGCCGTGATGGCACATTTGAAGGCAGACCGCGACACTGACAGTCATAAAGTTATGTACAACGACGGTAATGACCTCATTACTCATTACTTCTAAGTCATTCTAGTTGCAAATTACTGCTTTCATCGATAAGAAAGGTTTTTAAAATTATGCTAATGAAATAAATTGTTCGTTCCATTCCTTTGATAAACAAAGCTGATGCATAAACCTAGCTTGACATCATGATGTCTTACAAGGCCGATATGGTGAGTTTATGCCTTCAATAAGCGATCAATCGTTTTACGCTTAGGAGACCGTGTAGTAAAGACGAGGAGCATATTGAAAACGGAACTAAAATGACCCTTCTAGAATTGGGGGACAGTTAAGCGTGCCCATAAACCGCTTACAAACTGTCTTTCCTCACGGTAGCGCTGAAAGAGGTGTAGGACACTAAAACATATTTTTCTCTGCCAGTGTTGTAATGCGCGCAACTTCAGCGCGCTCAGTATTCTGTAGACAAAGATGTTCCATAGAAACTTGAACAATCTGAGTGATTCTGTCCGCGCTCATGATGGGCAGAAGTTGATATGAGTCTCCCGTGCTCGTGGGTGAGTGGATGCTTTTTGAGCTCTGAGTATACGACAGAACGCGACGTGCAAGGCGCGGACAGAGCACGCGGTGCCGCATCGCATTCGGATTTATGGCTTAGCATAGCTGCTCCAGTGAGCGAAGGTTTCATCTGACAAGTAAAAAGCCAAGCTCGATTTGGAGCCACTCGGCCTTGCCATCGGCCGGCTTTTCGCGAGGCGAGCGACGCCTTCTTTAAAGCTCCGAAATAGCCTGGCCCTGCTCGCAGCTGCTGGAGCTGTCTTTGCTGAGTTCCCAAGTTGTTAGCTCCCAGGGCTTGTCTCCAAGTTCAAGGGTGGTCACGCATGGGATGTATCGTACACGATTCCAAGAGGGAGGCCTCTCTGTGGAGGGCTTCTGCTGCACAGATGATTTCCGAGACGGCAGATATCGGTGGACGTCGGTAGCGTGCGAGCGAGGTGGCCTCTTAGGTAACGGTCTGTGTTTCCCAGGATGCACACGCTGAAAACCAAATTTCCCGTGATTTGAGAATAAATCTTCTGAGCATCTCTGAGCTCTGAGCGAGAGCATCACGCATCGCAGGGTCGCAGAGTCGATTGGTTACCGACTTTTTCATGACATATCTTGGAGTGAGCCGTGCGGTTCTGGCCAGACCAGCGGAACGTTGCCAGCCGACTTACGGGAAGATATTCCAGTGATCGATACTTCGCTTGGTTCTGTGTGCGCCCTTTAGTACATATGCGATAGGTTGATCGGGTGGTCAGCAGATGCTTAACAAAGTTTTCTTTCAAACAAACTCCTTGCAACGGACCCTGAGTCGGTATTCGGCCATCACGCTACAAACCATGACGTCAGTATCACATCACCGACAATTGTTGTCCGCACAATGTCATTTCAGAGGCCTGGCGGTCTGAAGCACGCCTATGATCAGTGCGACTCGGATGCAAGCGGGCCAGGGGTCGTTGCTTCTGGGCCTAGATGCGTCCAATTTCCTTCAGCGGCCTCGTAAAACATCGCCGTCCCCGGCCGCCCCCGCAGACGTCGGCCACGACGGGCGGGGCGGGGATGGGGACGGGGTGGAGGCGGAGGCGGGGGCGGAGGCGGGACGGCGTCGCGTCGGGTCAAGTGTGACCGCCGCCCCCTCCAACTTGTCGCTTGTTTACGGCCGGGACTCGGGTCTCCGGCGCGCTGTAGACACTGTCGACCGCGCCAATCCGTCAAACTTTATTTTAATATGTGAAGTTTTGTTCGTACAGGAGTCGGAAATGAGTGCGCTGGCCTTGGCTGGGTTATTAAGTCTTCTTTGTTCTTTCTATGGCCCCTTGCAAGCGTAGATCCGACGTCGCACTAACTGCATCTCCGTCACTACCGAAAGGATCGCGTATGGCAGGTATAATACTGCAAAAAAGTTCGATTTCAGCGACACCCAAGCATCCTTATAGTGCACCTGAAACGGTTGTCGTTGTGGCAGGACAAATCAGAGGCTAGCTGCAAACCAGTGTTGACTTATCCGGCAGTGGCCTGGATCTGTCGCCATACTCTGCGGAACAGGGGGATTGCAAATATAACCCGTACGGCTTGACCAACCATCCTGGCGTGCTGCACCCCGGCCACTTCGCGGCCCACTGCAAACACCCGTTTTTGAAAGAGTAATACGACTATAATGTCTCTTAAGTTCAGGCCATCCGTATGCTCCGCGCCAGCAGCTGTGAAAGCATTAATAGTTTCAACTTTTTCTATTGGGCGTTTTACTTGAGAAGTTAATTTTAAGAAGTTGTGATATGCATAAAACACTTTTAACACGCGCTCGGGAAGGGTCCAACTGATCACCCGGAGGGTTTTCCGGAATGGTTTCCGAGCAGCGCGGCGTATCCACGCCAAATTTGGCACAGCTGTAAGCAAGTGAATAGCGGCTGGTGTGGTATCAAAAATTGGATGTACCTTTTAAGATCGCTGACCTATGGCAGGTCAAAGTCACGCCATGAATTCAGCGAAGTCAACTTCAAGGGAATCGGTTAATCTGATGGAACAACGGAGTGTTAACAAAGCCATACATCTCTGAGATACTTTCTTAGGCAACACAGCAATTGAATGTCCAAATTCCACCTACCTAGGGTCAGGTATGAAGGTCAGACCAGGGCCAAGACCAACCTATTCTATTGCTCTAAGGCTCGCTGTGTGGGATAGTTTCTGGGACCCATTTCAAATTTACTGGAACCGCATTAAACATCTTTCATAGACTTTTTTGTCAGAATAGGTCTCTGACCAAAAATGACTCGGGTCGGTATTTCGTTTTAGGCTTAATAATATACTGCCTAGCTTAATATTTGTCGCTCATCATAGCATTCGTCTATGATTTTGGTCACCATGACCTTTGAAAGATCAAACAAGGTCACTGACCTTGATGAGCATATGGCTCTAGGCTTAAAGTAGGTATCTAGGTTCTGAAAACACTTTGGAGACCAACTTGGAGTTTGATCTTATTTGACCTATTCTAACCCGAAGGTCATGACCTAGGAAGCTCAAACTTTGACCTCAATGAGTTCACGTACAGGCCAACTCACCCTGTGAATTTGCTTCCTCTAGCTTTCTTAGTTCCTGGGATTACAGGGGGTCAAATTGACTATCCTTCACCCGAGCAAAGGGTATCCAACCGGCCAGCCGTGCGCGCGTTAATACACGCCTGCATCTTACAACCATTGAAGTACGCAAGCATGCTTCACTCTTTCAGTTAATTTTTAGCCCACTAGCAAAATCTCTTCACGACAGCCCGCTAAACAACAACGGACTATTCAAAATTGAATACTCCACAGCTGTCAGTGTCTTCGAAATGGCGTTTCGAGCCGCAGAGCGCGGGGACGCAGGCCTGCACCTCTCCTCCCAAGGCCACAATGATTTCAAAAGACACCAATATCCGGTGATTTTTAACAATGCTTGCGAGATAGCGTGCTTCTCTCCTATTCTAAGCGTCCTTGCTAGTACTCTCAACGATTGCATTTCAAGTGAAACAACCTTCACGCGTAATTTGCATCATCCATAATTGGCAACGTCACACCTAACATTACATGAGATCTTCCAAACAGCTCAGTGTATATGTACCAAGTGGTATATGCACCTGCTGCGGTCAGTTCACGCATGTGTTCACAATTTCACACATGTGATCCGCCTCTTACCAGTCGCTGAGCGCTCAGTCCGCTTGCCCGAAGCGTTTTCGCAGGGAACACTGGAGAGATGCTATTTGTATTGCGTCGAATGCGGTCGGTTATCCCGATCCAGAAATGATTTTACGATATGTGCATCCGGTACATCCGCGAATTAGGGCTAGACAGTGCAAAAACGAAACCGATTCCCCGTGCTACTGCGCATACTGAATGCTGACGGTGTTACACCTGGAGCCGCTGTAGAGTCGAAACTAACGAACAGCCATGGGTTGAGACAGTGCAACAGCTTTTCGTGATACATCGACTATCTGGCTGCAGTTTTCATCGTCCCCGCGCTCTCTACGAAAAGGCGCTGACGGATGCGGATTTCCCGCACTTCTTCCAGATCATGATAGAAATATAGCGTTTCGTGGACGAAGGTCCTTTTGCGAACTTGTGCCACGAGCCGGAACATTCTCGGGAACGGACCTGTTGTCAGAGAAGACGTTACAGCGAGACCGCCAATCCTGCAATTACGCTTCAGATGCGGTTGCCGCTGTGACCGCTGTGAAATCACTATAGCCTTCGGCCACGACATACACGAAATCCAAATGAAAATAAAGTGGCAAACAGTCTCGAATCTTAATTCTTTTATCCTTATAATTAATGGAAATCATCGTGAGTGCAAAAACGAAACCGATTCTATATATATATATATATATATATATATATATATATATCATATTACATCATAATTATCTTTTAGGATCGTCCATATACAAAGCCTACATTTATCACTGGGTTTCATCACACTCATTGTACCGCTATGTGACACGATGGAAACAAATAACCCCCTCAAAACATCGCACCGCACTTCCAGTTATGAAGTATCACAAATAATTTTCTTTAGGACCTTTATATTGCTCGTTTTACAGCAAGAATGTTTGCTACAGGTCTAAGCTATGCGAGCTTTTAGACAACAGTCATAGGAGAGACACTTGGCTGTTTCTGGCGGTTCCTGTTGCTGCGCGTGTGGCCCGTGTTATGTTAGATAAATAACGGTGCCGTCACGTGAGGTAGCAGCGCTGTGCTTTGTTTTATCTCGCTCGCTTTGTTTTACTCGCTTTGTTTTATCAATACGGTCCCGTAACTGAGGCTGCCGCGAATGGACGTCCCCTGAACTGGCACTCGGCAACACAACATGAGGTGTTCCGAAGATCATTAAGTCCTTAAAAGCCCTCACCCATCTTGCATGAAGTTGTTTGACCAAACACAAACCACGCTGCTGAAAGGTAGTGTTCTGCATTTGCATGGGGATTTAGCTGAAATAGCCATCGTGAAAATAGTTACGTGCATTTCACAGCGCTGCCTTTCTCGGGACCCAACCCCGTCTGGTTTCTGAGCTACATGCCCGCAAAGATGTACAGACTACTTCGTAATGACTATTTCAATGTCACCCAGGCATTTATGACGCCATAATAACGTCATTTAAAGCCTGCCAATCCAATGACCAAGTGGTAATCAAGGCGAAGAACAATGCCTTTGTCGAGTCGTTTCTATCTGGCGTTTGTGAGCGCAATTTCCCAATATAACGACGGCCAGTTGACTTTCCATCAATTTTGTGCAAAGCATGAATGCAATGCAATCAAACAATTACGTCTTGCAGAGTACATTTACTAAATGGAGAAATTGTGTGGCCAAAGTCAGTCTTTTCCACTTAAAAGGATGCCAACGGTTTCCAGTGGGCATATTTCATCGTACCTGATGATTGCCTCAACATCTGCAATTGTGGAGCATTCCCTCTAAGACATAGATACCTACTTTGCTTTAGCAGGGCATGAGATGTGGTGAGGGATTGCCCAAGCTTGGCATGTGTGACCACCGTTAATGCATTTTCTAAACCCCGCCAACTGTTCATTGTCGATTCTGAAACGAGAGATACGAGCATTAGTCACACAGTTGGAAAAATAGTCAGTCACTAAGCACAATACAACCGTAACGACAAGGCGCGCGTCAGGAAGGCATAGGGTTCAATTTCTCACGGCATCTGCCGTTCATGCCAGTATGGGACAGGCGATGCCACAAATGGCCTGTTCCCCTTCGCTCCTCTAACCTCCTCAGCTCCCCCACATGAATCTGATCGTTCCCGTTTTACTTATATATATATATATATATATATATATATATATATATATATATTCGGTTCTATGCAGCAGCAATTTCCGCGTTTATGACCTTCCCGGTCGTTTATTCAAGGCTTCGTATGGCTGGCTTCAAGGCAGTTGTTCTCGGTGTGTCGATACAGAATGTTACCAAAGTTCATCTATTTGCTCAACGTTTCGATCAATGTCATGGTCATTTTCAAGACAACTGTTACTCTTTAGACATGCAGTTACAAGCACATTGCATACGCTAAAGTTCCGTTCCGTCAAATCCCTACAAAATGCGTGTTCGAAGCATTCGAAGAAATTGTATTTGCATGCTGTATGCTCTAATTCCAGACGCACTTCTGTATGGTTGAGTTTCAATTTCAACATATCAAGTTAAAAGCTTACTGGTCCGGTAAGTTTGCAATCCGGGGGGGGGGGGGAGGGGGATGTCCTATCAGTTGCATGTCTTAGAGTACTGGTTGCGTGAGTTTGTTCTGTATATCGATGAGTGCAATGCCTGTGATGTGCAACATTTCAAGCGTGGTAAGACATCTATAATCTGTGGTAAGCGCAAGAATGGTAGTGTGCATGAATAAAACATTTCTGGTGAGTGGGGTGTTGCGGCGTGCACGTTCATGTGTTTTCGGTGCCCTCTGCCGCAAGTGCACGGTTAAAAGTCGACTCAGACTTATTGTCCGGCCAATGTAGCTTACTTTACGGGCTTCGCAGGCCCTGGCAGTGCATAGGAGACATTAAATTATGTTGGTCTGTTTAAACTTATCTCTGGTTTAGTTGAGATCATTTTTGATCACCAGGGAAGATACGTTGGGACATTTGTATTATACAACAAATTTGGTCTCTGTCGTTGATCAGTGAGAGCGGTGTTTGAGGTCTACGTTACGTAATATTTTCACACTGATTTTCCGAGACGGGGTCAAAGTTTGCGTAAAAAAGTTTCAACGTTTATTGAACATCACGGGAGGTATAATTTTCTTTGAATTTTCTAAGAAAGTGATCGAGTAAGGGTTTCGTGGCAAGGTCAAGGTCGGTATTCGTGCATTTATTATTGGTGAGCACCTGACGCAGCTGGTATAGCTCCCTCTCGAAATCGTTCCACGGAGAATAATTTTTCAAAGCACAGCAATGTAAGCCCGAACGAAGATCTGTAACTGGAAAGCCTCCATTACCATTCATACATTTGCTCCGGTTGGTGGCTTTTCTTCAAACATCTAATTGAGATGCACCTTTTAAAGAGTCAACCAGGAAGCCTAAAAAGACATTCTGTTTTTCACACTAAGATTGGCAGTAAAATTCAGGCCTGGCTCGTCCTGAAACTTTTTACGCAGATATTAGAACTGATCAGTGCAGAAATGGGTCATTACACCCGCAGGGTTTTTAAAAATTGCTCATTTTGGAATGCTTACGGTAGGCGGCCAGAGCGTCCGCGTCATAGGCTTATCAATAATGAATACACACATACTGGCTTTGACAAGACCACAAAGTGCGCATTTAACTCAATGTTGATCTATTTATGTTGTTTCTGACAAAAAGATAACCTCAAAAATGTGTCTTGTGGTCGCAGTAAAACCTTGAAACTTTGCAAAAATAAGGTGGCCCCATCTTGGAAAACCGATGAGAAGATATTGCGTGGCACAGACCTGAAACACTGGGACCACACTGTTCAACGGCATAACTAAGCGTTGCTATCTACTACCAAAGTCCAAAGACATCCTCCCTGGTGATCAAAAATAATTTCAACTAATCCACAGCTGTGTTTAAACAGACCAGCCTAGTTAACTGTTTCCAATGTTCTGCCTCGGACTGTGAAACACGTAAAGGAAGCTACATTATGCTGAGAACAAGCCTCAGCCGACGTTTACCCATGCAATTATGGAAGGGGGCACAACAAACATATGCACGCGCATAACAGCCCACGACATCCCTCTCACCAGAAATAAGTCAGTCATGAACGCTGCCATACTGCGCATACCGCAGGCCATTGATGCCTAACCACACTTGAAACATACACCAGAGACATGGCGCATATCACCATCACACAAAACAAACAATGCCTACAACTAGCACTCTACGACATGGGACTGATTGGACATCCTCCCCCCCCCCCCCCCGTAATTAGTACCTATCGGGCAAGCAATATTTCAACTTGATGTTGTGAAATGCGAAACTTTCAGCCGGAATCACTTTTTGGGATTCGATGAAAGCGAACTTTTGTATGTGTACCGTGCTTGTGATATTGGACTCTTGTCTATGTACTGCGCATGTGGCTTAGGGCTTCTGTATGTGTACTGTTAGTATGCTTGAAAATGATCATGAGGGTGGTCGTAACGTTGAGGAAATATATGAGCTTTGGTAATATTCTGTATCGACACAGCAAAAACGACAAGCGCACCATACAAGGCATTCAACAAGCGACCAGGTAGGCTATAAACGCCAAATTTGCTATGGTATGCAACCAACAATACAAAAACAAAGATTTGCTCCCGAGCTACTCCAAGATATATATATATATATATATATATATATATATATATATATATATATATATGTGCATATATTCCTGTGCTGTGAGGCAAGTTTCCATCTCTCATCTTAGGGAAATCGTGGACATTCTAAGCGCATGGATGTAGAAAGATCAGTTAAAATGAAAAAGCACCTGGAGGGGGGGGGGGGGGCAGACACCTCACAAAATAATACAAAGCGACACCCGTACACGCGGCAAAACACCTTCGGTTCTTTAACATCCAGCAAAATGGCAATCGGTTAAATCTCACTTCGCATTTTGCCTTGTAACGGCGCTGGCAGGGGCACACAGCGGAGAGAAACATGGTCGGTAAATATAGTGTGAGCGAACGCAAGTGATATGAAAGAGAAGCAAGGGTACTAGAAGTGTACTTTTTGTCGCCGGACAGTTTCCGAAAGTAAAATTGTCGCCAGTAGCGTAACGCGATATCATATGACAAAATGGTTCATGAAGTCCATGCCCAGTAGCGTCATCAGTAATCAGCCTATCAGCGAAAGTCTCTTTCATCACTGCATGGGCGCCATATGGCCAACGTAGTCGGTACACCAAAGCTCAAATCATCCTCATCATCATCTCTTTCATCACTGTACTTTTCAACCTCATGCACAGAACCGAAACGTTCAGTCATACACCGCCCTTCAACAAATGTCAGGATAAGTGCGGCTGCTAGGAAAACAGGCCCACCTACCGTAGACTAATGGCATAGCCCGATCACAACAGGAGCTTTTTCCACCCTCGGGACTTACCGGGGCCCCACGTTTAAACTCGGTCTACGTCTGAATTTGCTTTCCCTGACCGCAAAAAAAACGAACGGCCTCGATAGCCGGGGCGGCAGAATGCATGGCAGCTTTCGAAACAGTGACAAGCGGCATTGGGAATGCCGTCAAATATATGGGCCTTTACGAGGCCATACCCCCTTATGAAAACCACGTGTGCGCTTCGAGCCCCGTCTCAACCGTCATCAAACTATTTACCATACGTTAGGTATGCTCAAAGCCTGACGCGACATGTTTTGACCGGTGGACACCTTTTGCCGTGCCCCACCGAGTAAATTGCATCGAAATTTGTCAATAACTTCACATCTGGCGGCTAGCTCTTTCTGAACAAGTTATTCGCCCTGACAGGAGGGTTTGGGGGGGGGGGGGGGCGTGGGCGATGCGCCCCCCCCCCCCTCGACGGTTTTCTGGCCAATACCAATGTGGCATATTGTGCGGTCTCGCTCGAATCTTTGGTACCATCTGGGGCGTTCATTGCACGCGTGTTGACACCAAAAAAGTGTCCCAGCAATTCCGCTTCCAGAGAAGCGATGTTTTTTTACGGGCACTGCAAGACAGTTCAAGGCCGGCTGATGCGGTGGGCGGCACGCGACGATTCTGCGGACCGCGGGCGGAGGGTTGGCTCCGTTACATGACCGAAACCCTACTTTATAAATATAGGCTCCAAACAGATAAACTGCATGTCACTGTGCTCATTATTAAACAAGGGACACGTCCCTTAATGCTTTTTGTCACTACACTGCACGATTTCGTATACATGACCATGCAAAGCTGATGTTTGGTTTTCAGGAAAATTTGACCTTCGACTTGGTCCAGCGGGGTCAATTAACAACAGGAGACTTCATAGGAATCACGAGATCTCGTTAAAGACAGTTTACCGTTTTTTGCGAGGCTATACCTTTCTTAGTTTGCAAACGTCTGGGAATCCCCCCCCCCCCCCCCACCAGGTCGTGTTACAAAAATCGGTGGATCAGGGTAAGGGTTAAAGTTGTTGGCTGCATCTCTTTTCTGTTTTAGATATGCTGGTGTGAAATCTGTATTTCAGGTCATGAAAACATCAACTGCTACAGCAGAATGACACATTTCAATACCAACGTCCAAACATTGGTAGAAATTCATTCAGCAAGCCAACACTGCCCTTTACATGCAAGCATCATGCAACTAACATGCAAATCTAGGGTTATCTGCGATTTTCGTCATGTATAATGCAGGAGTATCAATTAAAAATACTTCCCGGGGCCCCGCCCAATCTCTATGTAAGATAAGGCCCCTCAATACTGATTCTTCCCCGCCCCCCCCCCCCCACCCTACGAACATTTCTAGTCGGAAAATTACAAGAATATACGAGAAAAAGCTAGCAATAACACAAAACCATCTTCTCTGGGCTTCACTTTCTGACCATGATCTATTGGCTGCTATCTCCCCTGATCATGCATAAAAAATTGCACTGCTTTCATTATGCCATCATACAAACTATTGATTTCTACTATACATGTGGGCTACATATAAGGCAAGCTGTCTGCCTTCACAGTCTGTCCTTAAATGTATACAGTGAACACGCTAATGGCTCCATCGGGGCAATTTTACAATTCGGCAAAAACAGTAATGTAGCATGCCATATTTTCATACATGCATTTCTATGCTCACAAGCGCAGAGAAATATGCGCATGAATGAGCACTTCAGACGGAATGACTTCCAAAGTAGGGGTGCTTTCCTGTTACAGTAGGGGTGCTATCATCAGGAAAGACTCAACGCTGTCCTTATAAACAACCAAATGCCAACCTTTCATTGACTTCATGGAACAGGTGGACCACAATACCACAAAGCTTCCTGCTGTTTGAAGTGAAACTGCTGGTGAGCGGAGAGATGGCAATGAAACCTGTCCCCCTTCTCATTGGCTACATTTGCTACACAGCCCTACTCCTCACTTTCATTGTCTTCCTATGACCTACATCATTGGCCATTACATAAAGCTCCAGCAACCGAGACTCATGTTAGCGAAATGTTGAACTGTGAATGATTGTTTAAATGCTGTGAAAACATTGATGGAATAGTTCCATTTTAAGCGGGGGCGTAGTTTTTGAAGATAGGCTTATGAGCATTAAAAATTATTCAATGTACCCAAAATATGGATGCTTCTCACATTACCGTATTTCTTCACGAGCTTCGGGGGGGGGGAGGGGGGAGTGATGAAACCCTGAACTGAATAAAAAGTAGGAACACCCCTGATTTGAAGACCTATGTGACTGGTAACCATTCTCAATCAGGACAAGAACAAAAAATGGCACAAAAAAATCAAGGGAAAGAAGGCTGGTCGTTTGTGACTGTTTCAGTGAGCTTCAGCGCACAAATCGGCACCTCAGAACTACTATCACCCCCTGCTGTTCCCCTGAATGGGGAATGCCATCAGACTTCAACTTCAAACCTACGGTTCTTTTCAAAGGAAAGAAGGCTGGTCGCTTGTGACTGTTTCAGTGAGCCAACAACCTTTCCAGTGTCTTGAAAAGGCGGTTTGGACAGGTCAATTTCTACCTTCATCGGATCACCCGCCGACTTACCCTGAACTATCAATGCCTCTCGTCGCTGAGGATAAGATGGTGAATCGCGGCACCGCCAACGAAGTAGACAAGGTCAAAAAGCAAACCCTAGACGGGTATTCATGACACTGCAATGCGAGTGTTACTTGCAAAATTGCAGTGCATTGAAAGTCACCGCCCACTTCATATCAGTCGCATCGCAACGATTGGAACATGCCCTTACGGCCAGATGAATCCCTATATTTATGTGTTTCAGTATTTTACACTGCTAGTTCGAAACACTGAGGTCGGCTGCTAAAAACAGCGAATCGGTCGACCGGCCGGGCCATCGGAAACACATTGATTTGTCGCCAACCTGTCACTGAGTCGGCTGGCCAACTAAAAACCATAGGATATTTTTGTCGCCGAGTTGGAATAAAACCTAGAAAAGATACTATGGTGCTGCAGAGTGCGGCAAAGAGTTTACGGGAACGTTTGCTGGTGTTGTGTGACGAAAAGTATTACCATGAAAGCATGATATCTATGTATGGAAATCTCATGTTATATGTTGTATAGTGTGCTGTATTTTTTCGTCTTGGCCGTTACCAAAATATGTTGTTTAAAAACATTCTTGACACCAACCTTAGCGTGAGTATATGCATTTTTGTCGCCAACCTTATACACTAAGCCGGCAGGTTTACCACCCCTGACAAGAAGATAGCAAGCCACGAGAATCCTGTTTACAGGGAATCAATAGCGCAGGGACACCAAGTGTGAAGACAATATGAGAGGCTGACAGTGCGAATGACGGACCGAAATAATGACGGTTAGAATAACAGACAGGTGGCGAGAGAAGAACATGGATCCAATTTACAGTCATACTTGTGTGGAATGTGACGCTTATATGACGCTTGAAGCGTGTATGCTATATGACGAATAATGACGCTTATAATACAGCTGACTAAAAATGAAAAATGAGCTGTCCAATATTCGTAGCTCGCCCTATTGACCATACACAACCATAAATGGCTCTGAGTTTCAGCATTGCGTCCGGCAAGGAGACACCAACCTTCACGCTCCCGCACTCTCGAAAGATATCCCTGCGTAGATCGATGCAGGAAACGGTCCCTTGTAGAGACTTCATGCTGTCCCGACTGACCTGGGCCAATAACATCTTCACCTGGAACCAAGCGCACGATTATTGGCATGGGAGACGATACAATACATCCAGTCAAGTTTGGGCAGTTTCTATCCAAAGGTTTTGAACATAGGCGAACCCGATCTATACATACGACTACATGATTCCCTGCAAGAAGTGGCCTCGTTATTAACGCGTCAAGTCAGTCGCGTCCCCAAGAAGGGATGAATGGTGACTTTAACCCCAAAGTAGCAGCTTGTCCTGAGAAGTCACTAAACATGCCCAGCAAATGCGATCTTGGGTCCCTCTGCTGGCTGGGCCCCTCATACCGCCAACAAATTTTCCCCACATCACACGATGTCACAAAAAAGACGTTACACTGTCCAGCATTAAAATTATACACGTTACTTCGCCTTTAATCCTCGCCCTGGTTTGTCGTTTTTTATGACGCAAATTGATAGGGAGAGGGGATCGATGAGAGCCCCTTGCCCATTTCCAAACGAAAAAGGACAGAGCTTAGTAAAAAAAAGTGTCATTACATTGACCTTGGTAAGATCTCACGGTTGGCAATAAAATGCTTATTGCTAGGTCAATAAGTGACAGTTTTCCAGGTCAAAGGCAAACTTAACGAAAATCAAACTTCTCAGCTTTACATGTTCATATGAACCAGACCATGCCTTGCAGCGTCACGAAACCTAAACAGTCGTGTTTATTGCTCACTTCTGGATACCGTGGTCTAAATTTATATGTGTTGTGGCTATATCTTGGTGATATACGACTCCACTGATGCAGTTATATAGGTCCACCGCGTGCGTTGCGCGGGATCATGGGCTGCCGCCCGCCCCTCGCGTAGCCCCCAGACTACTGCGCGGCGTTCCTAAAAAACCATCGCTGCTTCGAAAGCAGAAAATTTAAGGGCGTATGCCTGTTGTCAAAACACCCGCAATCGATGCACCATAGGCCAGTGAAAACCTGGGTGCGTTTGGACAACATGTCAGAGAGGTTTGCTCAGAAAATCTTACGGGGTGGGGTCGCATCGACACCCCTCAAGGCGAGGGTTAAGACAGTGCTGGTCAGGTAACACTAGTGTGGCCGTCAGTGCTCTTGTCATACCTTTTCCTTTGGATGGTTCGCAGAGCTGACGTAGGTCGTCGGAGCCAACATATGCTTGCCTTGCAGCATCCGCAGGACAGGTGGCAGGTAGTGGTACTCTTCCGATGAGAGTACCCATCGATGTTGACAACACAGAGCAAATGCAATGACCACTGTGAAAATAAACGTGAAATGAGTATTACGTGGATACTATATAAAAGGTAAACTGGACATTGTCAAAACGTGCATTGCCCATGACCATCCTTTGACTTCTTCACGGTTGTTCGTCCTTGAAGGACACCGTAAGCTACCAAATTTGCAGAGTGAAAAAATGACCAATCCAGTATGTTAACTGATGTTTCATCTCACCAATGAATCGATTCCTCTGTCCCTGGAAGTCACTGCCTCTTCTCTGCCAACTACGCTTGTAACGGGCCAGTTGTGGATCTCCATAGCTCAACTGATCAACGGTCGTGGTTGCCTGGTATTAGGGGTGTGTCCCTTTTCAGAATTAGCATCGTGCGCGTCAGATATCACGATATCGTGCATGTCAGATATCACAATATTGTGCACGTCAGATATCACGGGAGCTCGATCAGGCGTGCCCTGCTATTCAGCGCCAAACTTAAAACAGAATCAATGCACTTCAGTTAAGAAAAACAGGAATGTAACTTCACAGCCATTACATTTGCTGCAATTACCAACAAAGTTCCGTAAGCATCCCTACCTTCTGCCATATAAGCAATCGGCGAAGGTAATGGGTCCACCGAACAGTTATTTCTCAGCAGTGTTTAGAAAAAATTGCGGAATAGTAGCCCCGCCTCCGACCAGTATTACAAGACACCAGTATTACGATAACCACCGCTCAACACGAAATCTGGAGCTCTTTGAACTGAAGAAGCCTTCACCTTGCAGTATTTATCTCGTCCCGGTATCTCACCAATATTACCAAAAGACATAGAACACTGAAACACCCAAACAGATGCGTTTAAGGAGACGACCTTAGTACCTCCATAATGCGTTCATGATAACGGCACAGAAAGGAAATAATAACATCGGGAACCAAATAAAAAAGTTCAAAAACGGCAATATTTCCCTTTCTGTGGTTAACAAGCCCTCATTAAGAAAAACCTACATAGTTGACAGCATTTTGATTGTTTCGCACTTTCTTAAGCTAAAAACCTGCACTCCGCGGAAATAATTTTGTATTTCTTTCAATAATCAAAAAGTAAGGAAGTTTTCCCGGGGGCCCGGATTCCTCCAGACAGCAAAAAATCTGCGATCGCCTACAGACATCCGTTCATCATGTAGGCATACATTTTGATGTTTTGCATTTTGCACACCATCCGTCCACGAGAGCTGCAACTTCCCGGCGAGGCACGAGACAGTAAGCAAGCCAGCCGCGGCTAGGAAATCCCCCACCGAACCGAACATAACCGTTAGGCGGAGCGGCGCCCGAGAGGTGAACGCGGATTCGCCAGATGCTTCAGCTGCTCGGCCCGCAACAACAAAGCGGAGCCTGCTGTTAACGGCTCCTACGGGAGAAAAGACCCAGTTTCGGGAAATTGCGACAAAGCTGAAGATGACGGGGAGTTCGGAAGGGAAGTGCAGGGAAGAAGTCTCGAGGGAAGGTCTCAGAGGGGAGTGCCCAGTGAGAGGTCTGCGGAAGGGGTTCTCTGCGAGAGGTCTCCGAGGCCCAGGGAAGAGGGTGCCGTGCATCAGAGCCGACAGCCGTGCATTGAGGACAGGACGGCCTCGACGCTGGTTACCTAGCGACGACCTCTGGTCCCGTGGCCACCGAACGTCGGCGATAATACGCACGGTGTGAGTCCACAGGCTGTCGTTCCTCACCTTAACCGGAGAATAGGAGGCTGTAAGTTCCGAAGACGTCCCTTGACCATTTCCCAACGGGCGAACGCGGGCCTGCAACCTCTTCCCTCATGTGTAATTGGGGAAGGGCGGAGGAACACTGGCCGCGCGCCTTGGAACGAGAAGTGTGATCCCACAATTGAGGATGGGGTGGGGGAAGGTTATATGACACGCGTTTCGGCGCTGAATCCGCGTGTAGCGGTGGACTGCAAAGCGTAGGGTGGGGAGAAGGTCAGATAAGTAAGCTGGCGTGATCACGGTGCCAAGCTGATAGCAAATTGGCCCGATGTGTTTTAAATAGGGCAAAACGTGGCTGCGTCGGATATTTAAATTGCTTTAAAATACGTCCATTTTAGTTCAACGAGGACTCACGCAGACTTGCCAGTTATAATGCCAAGGCACTGGATAAAAATGGAGGGGAGGGGGGGGGGGGGTGGCACATGGGAAGGTGTCTTACCCGTGTACGGCCAAGAATGACTCGGATGACGTGAGCGGCAGCACATGTGTATGCTTGGACTTAATGTGGTCGGGTGTTGAATATATGAAGTCTGTGTGGATCAGTTACTTAGGGTGTGTTGCGCATTTGCATCTTGTTAACTGAAATAGGCATCTTGAAGATCGTTTGGTGCAGTTTACAGCCCTGTCCTTCTTAAGACCTAAACCCTTATAGTTTCTGAGCTACATACCTGTGAATACGTACAGACTATTTCAGGATGACTCCTTCAAGATTACCCAGGCAAACATGAAGCCATAACAACGTCATTCAAATCTTTCCATCCCATCAGCCATGTGGCAATCAAGACCAAGAAAAACAAAATTGTCTAGTCGTCCATATCTGACGTTTGTAAGCACCTATTTACAGATATAACGGCCATCAATTGGCTTCCAGTCAATGCACTAGGTCCGATGATGCAATCAACAATGACGCAATGAGGAGCATAATTACTAAAAAGAGAAATTTTGTTGTCTAGAGCAGCCTTCTTTACTTAAAAGCATGCCAACGATTATAAGCGGGCTTATTTCATCATATCTGATGCTTGCTTTAATGTCTTCCAATGTCAAAAATTCCTTTAAGGACGAGGGCTCCCAGGATCGATGTCAATCGTTCCTTAGCCAGTGTATTTCGCGGGTTGCCTGGGATCCCTGCCAATATGGGCGTGCTAAGGAATTTAGGACGCTTAGGTTATCAATGCTTCTGGTTCCATTTTTGCCCCGCTAAACAGCGTCACCAACCATAATATGATGGAGGTCGGATCCCTTGGCTAAGGGCGCACAGCGACGTGCGAGGAGTCAGCAATCATACTTCCTGATCGGACCCGCCATCTCGCCAATAGACCAGTCGCCCGCTTCAGCTTAGCTCTTTGGTTCACACGTGTGTGTTGATGTCGGGTGTACTGGGATCATAGCATGTTGAGTCGTGCGCATAACATTGCCGGGCTCGTATGCTGACCAAAGGACTTCTCAGCATATATTTGCACTTGTGAGGAGGCATGCTAGCGCAGCTGGCGGCGCGGAACACCAGCAGCAGCCGGGCAGCCGAGCAGAGCCCGCACCCCACCCCAGACCCCCTCCCCACAAGTACATTCATGCTTCATTTTTCAATTTAATTTAGATCTTATTTGGGCAGCTTAGATCTGCATAGGGCTGAGTTGCCTTGCATGGTCAAACATGGCTCCCGTTCCCGTCCGTGCTCCGCAATCACACAGAAGTAACACGCTTACGCCAGACTGGCTGCTCACCTTTGCAGGATGAAGGCAGTTACGTTTTGGGCCAGCTTTGAACGCCGGCAGGCACAGATGCATTCGTTAAGCGTATCTGCCTTGGTCCCTGAGTCTACCCAACCGGTTTCGTTGGCTGTGCCGGTGAAACATTCTCCAAACAGTGATGGTCGTACTGAAAAGTAAATGCAGATTAAACAGTGATGGGTCTGAACGGGTCTTCAAACGTTTCTGGTGCAGCCTTCATCACCTCATAGCAGACCAGTAGTTGCAAGTGAGCTTTTTCATTGCATCTGGTGCTAGTATTTATATCTTCAAATGATATTATTTATGGCATGCATGCATTCCTTAAAAAATTAAATTACGTTGTTAAGCGCATTGTGCGAGGAACATTATTCACATCGATGAGACGGTGGTAATAGCCTTGTTCCTCGGAGGAAAACCAGGAGAATCGAGATATAGATGCGTTGATATTTCTGCAACATGCATTTATTGAAACGGACGGCAGAAGTGCCTGACATATTGCTGACTAAACTTGACTTCTGCTGTCCGTTTAGAGAAAGCCGTGTTGCCGAAATATCAACGCATCTTTATCTCCACATTTTTCCCGAGGAATAAGATTATTACTGCTGTCTTACTTGAAGAATTAACGTTAATTATAACTTACATCATGGCGCAGAAATATTCTCACTCGCTAAAATTGTCCAATACCGCCCACATGTGCATTTGCCGGTCGACGCGACCCCCACCGCCGTTTTCCAAATAAATGAAGACAGAACTTAGATAGAAATATCAGTGGGTTGGCTTCAACGAGATTTCGTGATTGGTAACACATCCTCTGTTGCTACGGCAACAACTGACCTCATCATACCAGATCAAAGGTCAAATTTTACCAAAAGTACCACTTTTCATACCTACGTCTTTATATGATCAAGACATACAGTGTCATTATGACGAGTAACAAAGGTGACACAAAACCTAAAAGGGTGAGGTCTTTGTTCAATTCTGATCGCAATGCTGTAAAGTTTTTAAGCGCACTTTTTAAGAGCAGACAAGCACATATGCTCTTTTTTAAAGTTTTTAAGTGTATAGTATTATGTGTTTTGAGCATACAGTTATGAAATATGGTTCCGTTAATATAATAATGTTGGCCCACCGCTCACGCTCCGCGGCGTGGTCGGCTGACGCCCGTGCCAGCCGTAGATCGCCGTGCAGTGTTTCTCAAAACCCCCGATGCTCCGATGCCAGACAAAAAATGGGGAGGTGTTTTGGTGCCAAATCACGCAAAATAGATCCCACATTGGCTACCGAAAGTTTTGGCGCGACTGCACAACATGCCAAAGGTATTTTCAAAAACCTCACGGTGGCTCGGATCGATCTCAAGGCGACAAATGGACCACTAGGAGGTTGAAAAATAATTGCATCGCCACTTTGTGGAACGACAGGCACCCAAACTAAATGCTGAAAGCTTTTGCACGTGCAGCGATGTGAATCATTTTTTTCTCAATAGTGCGCTGCGTCCAAACCGCCGATCGGAACATATGAACTTCTAAACAGAATATAGCGTACGTCATCACACCCCTTTTATGGAGCTCCAGCGTCTCCATTGGCCTATCGGTGCTCGGGGACCGTGGGACAGCCGGGATCGGAGACCGGGTCCGCACGGTATGTCTAAAGCGGCAACCTATTGGCCGCCTTTGCCTGCAAAGGTAATTTTTATTGGAATTTGTTGATGAAAGCGAAACGAACATTTAACCAATACATAATAGACACTCACTATTGAAAATTTGACCTTCGGCGTTCTCGATGGTTTGGCGCATGTCGTCGTTCCTCCGATCGTTGCTCGCCTGGCACATGCGCGTACCCCTCTTATGCTCTGCCGCTGAAACATTAACGCTGTGTCAGGTCTGTGGGTCAATTTCAGGGAACCCTACATCGCGCTAATCTTTCAGGTGTTTCGACGCTGCATTGTACAAGCGAAACGCTGAGACCAGAAGCAGCATGCTTGCAGGTATTGAAAAAACTTTCTAGCAGCTGCCTTTATTTTAACATGTTCTTACTTTCCTTGAATCAAATTGATTTTGTCTTCATTTCACCCTGTTAAGCGTTGGGAAACATTCTAGTAACCTAACAGGTGGGTCAAAAGCATGGCGGTTTGAACTTCGGGGTACACTTGGAAACAATGCGATGATTCGATTGTGATGTGACGATTCCATTCGATGATTCGACATTGCTGATTGTTGACCGTTGATTTTAGTATTTTATGCAATTCACGACATGTCACAACATAATCAACGCAAGGTTTTTCCGACGGCACGTGTCATGCAAATACGACATTTTTACGTCCACGTAATATGGATAGAAAACTGCTGGAATGGCTGGAAGGCACTCATATTGAACATCTATGGCGGGATACATGTTTGCATGCGCGTACAACTGCACGTGCACGCACATATGTTCTTAAACAAAACGTCTACATATGTGCATGCATCGCTTATACTAACGAGTTTGCAAACCAAGCTAATGCATACCTGAGTGGAGGACGTAATATGCGGTTGTATTTTCGTGTGCCTTTCGCACTGATGGTATCTTCGCATGCTTAAGGAGAGCGGTATGAGTTATTCCGTGCTTTACTTGTCTATCTAGAAGGCCATGAAGTTCATGTCAGTACACAGAGAGTTTCAGTTACACACACGTTTCTGCCACATCAACTGTCAATGCGCAATCCATTACCACAACAAGAAGCTCAGACTTGAAACCATGATTCGAAGAAGCACATTAAGCATGAGTCCCATGATGTATCTTGGAATGGGCAAAAAAGCTGACACGGAGGGCGCCATCTGGCACGGTGCGGCGTCACTCGGTGTGGCCGACTGCGTGCCGTCGCCGCCGCCGCTGGCTGGCGAACGTCATGCCGTGTGCTGTCCTGTTGTTGGCCCATTTCTTACAAAGACGGTGAGACTTACGGCTATTGTTCTTTTGGTAAGCAACAAGAGGAGTTTGAAAACCAACATGCGGGGTTCGATTCACCGACGTGCCAACAGCCCCAGCAGCTGAGAGCGTCGTAAAGCCCAAATGGCAATGCATAAAAAACAGGCTATTACGAACAGTCATTTAAGCTGCGTGCCGGCACACGACTGTGTGGCCGAGAGCCAACAACATTATTTCACAAAATGCTGTTGGCCACAGTAGCACTGGATGACACTATAGTTTACTGCATGAAATTAGCATAATGAATACACACACAACAATGTGGTTCAACTGCCGTTTTTCCCAGGATAGCCACCGGAACCGGGAAGGGGAGGGGAGCAGGGGACGTGCAAACTCCTTTTTGAGACAGTTGTTTGCCACAGCTTATGGAAACGCTAAAGAAATTAATGTCCAAGTTAATTTCCGACAGTGAATGATATAGATAGCGAGAGCAATGTACTAAAATCACACAGAAAACTCATTTGAACAAAAGGGACTATTCTCACCTATCAGTACTGCAGGTCTCAAAGGGTTGTCGTCAGTAGACCTGCCAACGTGGGCTTCTTTGAGAGGAGTGTACGTCACTGTTCTGTCTGTGGAAGGAAACAAATGATATGGCCGCCACCCAGGTGTCAGATCATGTGAGCAGATCAATACCAGGTGTCAGAGCATGTGAGGCAGATCGACGCAAGGTGTTAGCATTTGAGCAGATCAATGCAAGGTGTCGGAGCATGTGAGCAGATCAATGCAAATTGTTCATGGTGCGTTCGGAACGAGCATCTTGGTATACACGCGCCACGAATGGATTGCTGTGGCCAATACTACGGCTCTGTTTGAAAATTGACACGTGTAAACGCCTTTTTGCCAATTAATTATGCAGTGGCCATGGCAGATCTAGCAACGCATTTTAAGAACCATATACGCGCAGGCAGGATGCTTAATTCCATAAGCACCAAGCTGGTACTGGAAATCATACTTATAAAGAAGGGAGGAATGACAAAAAGAAATCAAGTTATATCATGATATGACCTAGTGATCATTTATAGGACATGATGTCTTCTAAAAAGCACAGAGGTTTCGCCTTTAAGCATGCTCAAAATGGACTCCGCAAAAGGTGCCGTTGAGACCGAAGTGACTTCACCAAAGCCACGAAAGAGACCAAAAAACACCCCCCCCCCAAAAAAAAACTGAACAGCCCTGCCAAGGCCCGGCCGGGGCGGCCAGTTGACTGCAGCGCACTCAGGTGAACGGGGGGGGGGGATCCCTTGAAATATAAATAAACAAAGAGAGTAAGAGGCACCAAGTTCGCCGAAAGAGTAGGTCTGCATGTGAATTCACTTTTACCACATTCTGAGGTACCTCGGTGGTAGTCTTATAAAATTAGGTTAAACAACGCCAAACTCCTGATCAGTGTCATAGCTGCTCTCAGACATCCTCATGCAACCCCCGTAAACTTAGATACTTCTTCTAAACAAAAGGTGCTAATCGCGGGAAAGTTTCATTATTCATTTGACCATTTTCTTCCTTAAAGGGAATGCTCCAGTTCTAAAGATATCGAGGTAAGCATCAGGCGACCTGCAAAAAAAACCACGACAACTAGCGGTATGATTTTAAGTGGGAAAGCTGCTCTGGACAAAACAAGTTATCCCTTTTTGTGTATATGCTCCTAGATACGCCATTTTTTAATTTCATCATGAAGCGTTTGCATACGTCCAGGTACTGCCAAACTAGCCGTGCGAAATTGCCACCCTAGCACCCCTTGTAGCACTTGAAACTCGTCGAGAGGTGACAGTGGCAGTGCTAGAAGCGTTTGCTGAGCCAAATGTCGTTACATGCTCGCGTTGTAAAACACGAAAAGTGCCGACTAGCTTTTCTCGTGGTGTTCTTGCATACTTATCTACGAGCTGAATATGTTTTTTGTATTTACATACTCGGCTATGGCGCCTTTTCTTTAGTTATTCACTTGCAAGCCTTTTTTCCGCAATGCCTTGCAATCATGTCCAGCCTCTTACATTATGTGGTACAAGACGTATTCGCCATTGAATCAATTTACTTGATCGCTTAAAGATCAGACTCTCTTATCCGCTGTTGTGCTTCCTCCTGAAACCCACTTGTCCGGGGTAGGTTGCAGGCGCCAGCCACGAGAGACCCCACCTGGAGGGGAACTCCGACCGGGCGCTCGGCACATGGTACCTGCAGGTGGCCCAGCGCGGGCTAAGGCTTGGGGGTTAGTCTCCTACGCGCGTATAGTCTTGCCCTACCGCTATCCATTCTCCTTCATCCCATAGCCCTAAAATGATCACAACTAGTCGAAAGGGCTCTTATCCAAATAACCAAGTAGCGAAATCGTGACTGAAACGAGTACAGCCTGCTCACTTTTGATTCAGAGTCAATCGACGTGTTTTATGTTTGAAAACCGTGCTCAAGGACGCCAAATCTTAACGGCTCGACGATGCTGTTCTTCCTGGCTTGATCGCCGCATGGGCTATGTGATGCCAGTATTCAAATGGCATTGCTATGGTGTCATGCATGCCTGGATGACATTAAAGAAGTCTGCACGAAATAGTCTGCACATCTTAACGAGTGTGTTGTTCAGCAACTAGAGGGTTCAAGGTCTTAAGAAGGGCTGTGAACTGCACCGACTAATCTTTAAAATGGCTATTACAGTTCAAAACCCCACACGAATGTGGAACATTTCCTTCAAGAAAGTAACGGTGCCCAAAAGCGCACGGGATCATTTTGTTGTTGAATTTAACTAAGCGCCAACGTCTGTACCATGCGGCATATTCCTATAAGCAAAAGGCTCATCGGGGTCATTTTAGGTCAGTAATCTTCCCTGACTTTTAAGAAATCCAAACATGGTGTCTGTTGATGTTCTTGTGATCGAGAAATCTAAATTTAGCGGCAAAAGCTACCTCAGGAAGCAAGTTTCACAGCATGAAATCAGTTAGATTTTAGAACTCTATTGTTGGGAGTAGGTTACATGCGCCAGCCTCACTCTGACCTTCACGCCTGACCTAAGGGTAATGAAATTGTAGGGCTGAATTCAAGAGAATAATTTCCTAAGAACCTATCTCAAACATGCATGGCTTCATCTTACACTCCGTTGCCGCAGCAATTAAAACGTGCCACGAGGAATCGACTTCGCCGAGAGCCATAACCTGGTTTTGATCTGTCACTAGACAGTGACCCTGGAAGGCACATCTAACGTTCCACGAGGGATCGACTTCGCCGAGAGCCATAACCTGGTTATGACCTGTTATTAGACCGTGACCTTAGAAGGCGCATCTGCTTTTTGTGACAGAAAATTGACTATT